TAAACTGTAATTTGAGTCATAACTGTTACATCCAGTAATATTATCTGAATTGTAAAATTTGCTCTAAGGCACAGATGTCAAACTCAAGGCCCATGGGCTGGATCTGGCCCATGTGGTGCTTAGATGTGACCTACAAGGCCATCCTGGAAACAGCAAGTGACCGGCCCACGGTGCTTCTGCTCGGGCCACCACTGGTACTCCAGACATAATTGATCTTGAGCCAGCCACACCTACCCGGGCCACTTCCACCCAGCCCCCCCCCCAGGTCAAACATTGAAGTGGCCCTCAATCAAATCGAGTTTGACACCCTTGCTCTAAGGGTACACCAGTATTACACAGTGAAACAATAAATATTCCATTATTAAACTATTCCAGTGGTATATTCCTGGTTGTCAGAGCATGTGCAGCAGCCTACTATAGGTTATCCAACAGCAAAACAAACATCTCTACCAGCTTTTACATTTGCTCTTGGAATCCTCATGGTTTAAAGTGCTTGCAACTGATCCTTGTGTATTTACTCACATCACGTGTATGTTCAACTGAGTTCATATTTCTAAAAATTCCTATGTAAGCCTAGAATTGGAACTTTTGGATAACTTGTCAGCAGGCTGACTGATATCTTTCATTCATATCTGCCAGAGCTACGTTAGTGCATGATGACTCCTCTCAACTATAAGTAATCCATTTATATGTGTAGTATCTAGGCCAGTTTTCTTGCTACTCTATAGGTAGTCCTTGCCTGATCACTATTCCTTCAGCAACCATTTGAAGTTACAATCATGAGAAATGAGGAGACTTATGGCCAGGCCTTGAAGTTGCAGCAGCAGCACCACAACCTTTACAAAATTGGCAGCGTCCTGCAGTCAAGCAAAAACCATTTGTGACTTTTCACTACTCGCTTCCAACTGCAAAATGATTGGGGAAGACAAGCAAGAATTTGCCAATGGCAGCCACATGACATTTTGCCTCACCACTCATGAGATTCACCTAAGAACCACAACTGAAGTTGCAGTGACTTCACACTTTATGACCATGCTGCTTAACCACAGATTTGTTGATCTCAATTACTGTTGTTAACTGAGGGCAACTTGTCCATCTACACTAGATACAAAACTGTCTAAAGGCATAACTTGTTTGCTATGTGTATTTGTGTCAGATTTGTTTGGCATGAATGAAATGTTAAAATTAAAGAAATCCAAAGTACCTTTCCTTGGGCTTCTTGGTTCAGCAGGATTTTCAGTACTGTAAATATATAAAAGTAAATGATTACCTGTCAATATCTGATAGAAAAAAATGTGTAAAATAGTCAGATAAGCCTAATAAATGGGAATGACCCAGCACCTTATGGGGACTGAAAGAGCTTTATATCTAGTAGAGATGTATAGTAGAGATATTATACAGTGTCTCTGCTCTGAAGGTAGCAAACAACAAATCGTAAAAAACAAAAACAACTTTATTAACAGCAATAATTAATTGACTGATTATGTGCCATTAAATAGTTTTCAACTCCTAACTCCTTGAACAACAATAGTACAAAAATCATTATAAAATTTAGGAAAGTTCATAAATAACATAGCAATCCAAGAGAGAAAAGAAATTAGTTAGCAATTATTCCACTCTTTGGAATTCACTTAATTCCATTTGAGGTTACTAGATCAATCTGGTATGTTGTTACTAGCTTAGGAGATGGTGATTTTTTTAAAAAAATCTCACTGGGGCCAGTAAGCAGAGTTTGGCATTCATATTTCTTACATTTCTGTTCTGAATTTCCCACATCACAATTGGTAGTTCTGACAACGTGGTTACAAAATCCTCTATGCTGATCATTAATGGTTTCACTTGTATTAATTAAGCTTTATTTTGCTTTGCCCTTTCCTCATCTTCTCCATCTAAATTTAGATAGTAAATTCCTTGGGGGAAAAATACTGTCTTTTACTCAAGTCATGCCATAATCTCTTTTATTGACAGCAGGAGATGAAATAACCATTTCATTATAGGGCTGCTGACTTCTTTATTGATCCCTATTAGAACATTTTTCTTCATCCTGTGAAACTTTCACCCTTAAACTCTTTTTCACCTGATAGTTTCTGTAGTGAAATCAATGTCACTGCAGGGAAAAGAAGCACATTAAGTTATATTTCTCTGATGAATTGGAAAGACTTTACCATCACCATCAACAACATAGTTTTCAGAAATAGTTCTACATTTAATCTATAAGAATTGGACATCTTAATGATAACCAGATCTTCCTTATCCATTATCTATCTATCTATCTATCATCTATCTATCTATCTATCTATCTATCTATCTATCTATCTATCTATC